ATTTTTTACAATTAAAACTCTCTTAATAAGCTTACAGTCATATCAAACAAACTCCTAACTTTTAGAAGCAACCTTTACTAGCCTTGGTTTCTGTCTAAAGAAATAGACCTAGAGTTGGTTGGCATGGTTTAATGTCTTTTATAGTCCATGATCTTAGCGGTTTTGCACCAATTTAGATCCTTGACTCAATTTTAAATTTAGGGATTATTTGAACCATAAATTGTAAAATTATTAGGTGATGTCATGTGTTATATAATTTGAACAAATAGTTAAGATTAAACCACATCAAATCTAATTTTATTGTGACTTGGAAGATGACAGACCCTACTAATAACTATTATGTATAATGTTAGATTTGTAGTTTTTAATAACTATCTCATGGTGTTATTTGATATTGGTTGAGATAATGATAGAATTTTAAGGGGAGTTATCAGCCAAGTGTAGCAAATGGGAGATGTGGGGAGGCTAATTTGATGAAATGGCAGACAAGTAGCGAGTTCTAAAGCAGTTTTTGACCAAGTTTGCTGCTAATATGTTTGGTTAGACTAAGCAATTTTTTATCACATTTTTGTAGGTAAGTTATGAGTGGTTACAAGCCATTTCTTGGGCATTCATTAGCAATAAATATGAACATTCAACACATTCAAACAAGGCCTCCCCCTCTCAATACAAAACAACACAACAACATGCCTTAGTCAAGCTCTCAATTAGCTTCTAGGTTAAGAAACTAGCCCTCAAACTTTTTAGTTTTAGGTTTTAATTGTTTTATGTGGGATTTGTCCCTTTGCCTTCATAGGTTCTCTTCTAGATCAATAGTTTTGTAAGTTTTTGTCAACACATTTCAATTTTGTCAATGTAATCAAATTTTAGTTTTGTAAATAGATTTCATTATTGTTAATGCAATCTTGTTATTTTGTATTACAAAGCTTTATGTTATTCTCAAAGTGCTTAGTTTACATTTTTATAAATAGTTTATTTAAAGTCTGCCAATAGTTGCTTACTTAAATCTACCTTGTTATGTCAAAATTTGTAGCTCATTTTAGTCTAAATTTGCCTTCCAAGTTTTGCAATGTCTTCCCATTTTTTTGCCAGCCTTCTCTTTCATTCCTACTTTATTTAATTAAAAATTTTCATTGTGGCCCTAGATGTGAAAAATCCTTGGAGTTGTCCAAGATAAGTTTGTAACCCATTTTGCAAGAATTCATCCCTCCTTGCAACATCTTCTCATTTGAGGTGCATCTTCAATACATAATTGACATTTTTTCAATCATCCCACACGAAGATCAACTACTTAGAAAAAGAGGGTAACCAATAAAATCCGTTTTTCTTATTTTGAGCAAAACAGGTGATACACTTGCACTATTTTGCCACACAATAGTCGAGAGGAGGATTTTTTGGGATATAAAGACTAAAAAGGCTTCCACCTAGTTGGCATCTATTTTAACGTCATTCAAGACAAGAGTTGAATTTTATGGTTTCATAAAGTTTAATTTGTAAGACAACATTTCATTTTTTCAAAAAAAAAAAAATTATTATACAATGACTTGATACGAAACTATATTATAATAAAAATTTTAACTTGAGATTAAATTGAGAAAATATATTTTTACTATATTAAATAATTAACCTTCTAATATATTAAAAAAATTATATTATAATAACTATTAAAAAAATTATTTTATAAGATAAATTATATATAATTTACTTTATACAGTAATTTAAATATTTTTAATTTTATTTTTATATTATTTTTTAAAAATATTTAAATAATCTTATAAGACAAAGTTTGTCTGCTTTAAAATAATCTTATAAGACAAAGTTTGTCTGCTTTATAAAACAGT